CATACTTGATAAGACTTTAACATACAGAACCCCCCTCCCCATAAACACACACACATACTTGATAAGACCCACACATACAGAAACCCCCCCCACACACACACACACACACACACACACACACACACACACACACATACTTGATAAGCTTCTTCTCCGGATCGAGCAGGTTCATGAGCTTGTCTGCGTAGACTTTCTTGGAGGCCGTGAACAGAATCACCTCAAAGTTCTGCGACACCGACTCCAGGAACTCGCGGAAAAACGGCCGCGTCCGCACAAACACCTGAGCAGACAAACAAAAACACACGTACAAGGTTACGATGACTTGTGGCTTTTGCTGTGGCCGATGAGACCAATACTGGCAGAGAAAAGTTTGCCACATTTTGAACATTAGACCTCGTGGAACCTGGAGAAGAGTCACGGAAATGGATGTACAGAAAAGTGGGAAGACGTGGAGTGACATCAAGCGACTAGCCCAGGATAGGGAAAGGTGGAGAGTGTTTGTCCGTGGCCTATATCCTGACCCAGGGTGAGAAAGGCAATGATGATGATGATACAGCTAGCTCCGTGTGACTCTCCGTCATGCGTCACTTTTGTTGGTTTGTTTTAGTAAGAGTTTTACGGCACTTGCATCACAATAAGGTCATATAAGTGCCGAAGATTAGAGGTGTTACACGAGAGTAACATACACAATATAGAAGGAGGGGAGATAAGAACGATAGATGTTTGGTGGGAAAGAAGGAGCAAACCACACCAGAGCACCTCCCAACCACCCACCGTCACTCTTTAAAATTGCGTATGGTAGACTGCTACACTGAGCAATGCATACAAGAATGCACAGAATAGGTACATAGAAAGAAAGAAAGACCCACTCTTTGAGATACCATGTCATTTGGTTTTAGTCAGTTTTGCAGCACTTTCAACACAATTACGTCATAAAAGTGGCCAAGATTAGAGGCATTACAAGAGAGTTGTTTGTTTAGTATAGGGTTTTACGGCGCTCGCAACTGCATAGGTCATATGAGCGCGCGGGACACACCTAATATTTTCAGTTGGTAGGAAATGTGGAATTTTGCCCGGGTGGCGGCCGAAGCCTACTCTTGTCGATTTTTAGACCACCAAGGGATCTTTAACGTGCGCAACTTGCACACGGGCCCTCCGAGATTTTTCGCCCTTGTCCGAGAAGGCTAGGTGTAGATCTTTCCTACCAGAAGATCAGGGGTGTGGCAGAAAGACAGCAGTTAGGAGGAGCCAAGGAGTAGCAGTAGAAAGGCTGCAGAAAGAGTCAGGAGCCCAGAGGAGGGGGCAAAGGAGGTGAGGGGGTGGGGGCAGAAAGTGGAAATGAAAGCAGACAACAGAACATTGTTAGAGATCAGGAAAGGATGTGAAAGGAGACAATTTTAGAGAAGAAAATTTTTTGGTCGCTACCCGGAATCGAACCCGGGACCTTTGAATGAGAGGCCAACACCTTAACCTCTAGGCCACGAGACCCCCTACAAGAGAGTAACAAACACAAAAAAGGAGGAGAGATCAAAACAATAAATGTTCAATAGGAAAGAGGTGGCAAACCACACCACACCTCAACACCCGCCAACCACGTTCGCTGCGCAGTCAACATGAGAATGGGCACTAGAAGAAAAAAAGATGCATGGGAAGACTCACTCTGTAAGAAACCTCTTAAAATAAAAGAGAAAAGGAGAGGAGATCAGAAGACAGTGCAGCCATATCTCTATAACCACATTGTTGGGACCAGAAAAAAATATCGTAATAGAGAGTTGTCGTTATACAGACGCAAAAAAAAATTACTAATTATATATATATATGATAGGAAAAAATTAGGACCTGGGCACCATGTCGCTATAGAGAAGACGTGGTTATGTCAAAGGTCGTTATAGAGAGGCTGCACTGTAATTGGACGTTTGATTGGAAAGAAGGGGGCAAACCACACCAGAGCACCCGCCAACCACCCACGGAAACTCACTCTGTAGGAAACCTCTTGAAACAAGACGGGGAAGGAGAAGGCAGCGTCCTCCAGCTCTGTCAAGCTACAGTGGACCAGAGTCTCGTCCTGGGGAACACACAGACAGAACAGACTAATAAACGCACTCTAAACAGACAAACAAATACACTGTAAGCAGACAACTCTAAACAGACAACTCTAAACACACAAATAAATGCACTCTAAACAAACAAATACAATTAAATAAATACACTTAACACTAATGAATAAATATCTCAAACAGATAAATAAATACACTAAATAGATAAATACATTAACTCTGATCTCATAAATAATTATACTCTGAACTGAAAAATGAATTCACTCTGAACTGATGAATAAATTGATTCTTTACTGATAAATAAATTCACTCTAAACTGAAGTATAAATTCACTCTGAACTGAGAAATAAATTACACATTTTAAAAAATTCAGAGCTATAAGCCTAAACACTATACTCTTGTTTAAAAAATGTTTCAATGTAACTATTCCACCAGACTCATAGCGATGTGCGCATACGTAAGATAAGTAATATATATGCAAGATATGAGCTGAGCGAGCCTAAGTGAGCCCGAGCGAGCCCGTATGATGAGGTGACTCACCAAGTCCAAGACGAGAGAGAACTCCGGGGAACTGCGTGTCTTGAGGGGAAGGGCTGGGAGACGGGCTCGCAACTCATCCGTGAGAGGAGGCAGGCTACGGATGATAGAGTAGCTGGGGAGGGAGAGAAACAGAGTAACAATGATCATGGTTTGGAGGGCTTGATTTGTGGGGTTCCATTTTGACGAGAGAGAGGATAATAGGATAAGATAAAATATGAAAAAGATGAGATAAGATAAGATCATATAAGATATGATAAGATATAATAAGATAAGAAAAGATAGATGGTCGCTTTTAAGCACAAGGGGGCTATCCCGAAAAATGCTGTTCTGAGAAAACCGAAGGTAAAATTTTTGAACCCTTATTCAGTTTCTTTAAAAGACAAGGAGAGTTTTCTTTATAACCAAACAAATATACACACCAGTGAAACCAAACTTCTCCAATAGGTAGGGCAATGCCCACTTTTGGTGTAGGTCAAGATTTCTGGAAACCCCCAAAATCTGGGTTAGCCCATTTGTCCTTAAAAGCGACCTGATACAAGTCTTTGTACAAGTCTTGATTATGAGCTGTATTAGGTGGTCTCATTTAGTCTTTGTTACATAACTTGGTGTGTTGGTAAGTATACATTTCACTTCAAATTACCTTCAAGGTGACTTTTAAGATATTCTGTTGTTTAAACTATATCAGTCTAGCAACTTTTTAGAAACCCAGTCATTCAAACTCTCAGTCCAATGACTTTTGAAACACCCTGTTTTAAGGAACCCTGTTGTTCAAACTATCAGTAAAGTGACTTTTAAGATACTCAGTCGTTCAAACTCTTAGTCAAGTGACTTTTGAAACACCCTGTCATTCAAACTAAAAAAGTCTAGCAACTTTCAAGATATACTGTCATTCAAACTATTAGTTCACCGATTTTAAAGAAACATTATCGTTCAAACTATTAATCCAATGAGTTTTTAGACACTGTCATTCAATCTCTAAGTTCAGTAATTTCGAGACAATAAGTCATTCAAACTATCAGTCTTGTGACTTGAGATACCATATCCTTCAAACTATCAGTCAAGCAACTTTTAAGATACCCTGTCATTCAAACTAATAGACCCCTGGTTTTAAAGATAGACTGCCGTCCAAACTATAGGTTCAATAAGTTTTAAGACACTGTCATTCAAACTCTCAGTTCAATCATTTCAAGACAATTTGTCGTTCAAACTCTCAGTTCAATCATTTCAAGACAATTTGTCATTCAAACTCTCAGTTCAATCATTTCAAGACAATTTGTTATTCAAACTATCAGTCTAGTGACTTTTGAGATACCAGGTCATTCCAACTATCAGTCTAGTGACTTTTGAGATACCATGTCATTCCAGCTATCAGTCTAGTGACTTTTGAGATACCATGTCATTCAAACTATCAGTCAAGCAACTTTTAAAATACCCTGTCATTCAAACTATTAGTTCACTGATTTGAAAGATACAGTATCATTCAAATTATTAGTTCACTGATTTGAAAGATACATTATCATTCAAACTATTAGTTCACTGATTTGAAAGATACAGTATCATTCAAACAATTATATTAGTTCACTGATTTGAAAGATACATTATCATTCAAACTATTATATTAGTTCACTGATTTGAAAGATACATTATCATTCATACTATTATATTAGTTCACTGATTTGAAAGATACATATCATTCAAACTATTAGTTCACTGATTTGAAAGATACATTATCATTCAAACTATTATATTAGTTCACTGATTTGAAAGATACATTATTATTCAAATTATTAGTTCACTGATTTGAAAGACACATTATCATTCAAACGATTAGTTCACTGATTTGAAAGATACATTATCATTCAAACTATTAATCCAATGAGTTGCAAGCCACCCTGGCATTCCCACTCTCCGCCCCAGTGACTTACGGGTCCTGTAGCTCCGCCTCCCACTCATAGGTGTCCTCTTGCCCCGCCTCCTCCTCGTGACAGTAGGCGGAGCAGTCCGTGTCGATGGCCATGCTGGCCGCCTCATAACAGCTCTCCACACACATGTCCGCCTCACCCTCCACCTCCTCGCTTACACAGCTACTACAGCTGCTGCTGATGTTGCTGATGTTGCTGGTGTTGGTGCCACTGCTGCTGCTGCTGCTGCAGGTGGCGGTGAAGTGGTAGTGGGTGTTGTTGCTGCTGCCGATGACGGTCCCCATAGAGGTGGATGTGGTGGTGGTGGAGGAGGAGGAGTACAAATTGGTGCTACTACTACTGCTGCTGCTGCTGTTGTTGGTGTTGTTAGCGATGGTGTTGTTGTTGTTGCTGTAGCTGTTGCTGTTGTTGGTAGCGGTTGAGGCTGCGGTGGCAGTTGTGCCGCTGCTGCTGCCACTACTGCTGTTGTTGTTGTTGTCTTCCACCAGCATGAATTCCTTGCACTCGGTCTCCACCGAGACCTCCGCTGAGGGGTCCTCATTTTCTTTGCCTGAAGAGAGAGAGAGAGAGAGAGAGGATGTCTTAGTAAAAGTTTTACGGCACTTGCAACACTATTAGGTCATATAAGTGCCAAAGATAAGAGAAGGAGAGATGAAGAAGGAGCAAACCACACCACAGCACCCGCCAACCACCCACAGCGAGAGATTCGTTTTCGTAAGAGTTTTACTGCACTTTCAACACAATAAGGTCATATAAGTGCCGAAGATAAGAGGTGTTACAACAGAATAACAAACACAAAAAAGAAGGAGACATAAGGACGAGCCACGTTTAATAGGAAAGAAGGAGCAAACCCCACCGCAGCACCAGCCAACCATCCACAGCAAGGAGTTTGGGATTGAGTTAACACTCTTTGCGGCAACTTGGCGCAATGAAGCACCGGTGATGCGCCAGAATGCGCCGGTGAAAATTATCCGTTCCGGCCACCTGGCGCATATCTGCACCAGGCTCAAGAAGTCGGTGCAGTCGCTCTCCTGCCTGGGTGACCAGAAGGGGTGTTTTGTACTGCTGGCTGTGTGACTGCAAAGTGTTAGTTTTAGTTTAGATGGGGTTTTTCGGCGCTCGCAACTGCATACGGTCACATGAGCGCCAGAAGATTAGAGGTGTTACAAGAGAGTAACAAACATAAAAAAGATGAAGGGGAGATAAGGACGATAGATGTTTGATAGGAAAGAAGAAGCAAACCACACCAGAGCACCCGCCAACCACCCACGCAAAGTGTTTAGAGAAGCGAGTTGAAACAGAAACAGAACTGTCATATAAAGAACAAGAAAACTCAAGCACATACACAGAAACAGATGGAAAGAAAAGAATACTCTATCACAACCCCCCCCCCCCCCCCCCACCCACAAACACACACACACACAATCACAATCTGTCCCCCTCATACTCACTGGAGATTGTGCTCTCGATGACTGTCTCCATCATGACGTCGTCGAGGTCAAGGACACGGGCAATGGCCTCAAGGTCAGACACGGCACTCCCACACTCAGCATCTGCAGACAACAGGACAACCCCACACTATAGTCACAAGCTAAGCAGTAACATCTCCGTTCACGATATTATGTACTTGTACGCGAAAGAAGATTGGATGACGTGTCACCCTACCAAAACAACTGCTAAAGTTATGGTCAACAATTTACTGCCCCGTACACAATTTATTTGTGGGCCGTTGGCAGGTGCTCTGCTGTGGTTTTCTCCTTCTTTCCTATAGAAAATTGAGGTCTTACAGGAGCCCAAGATCAGAGGTCTTACAAGAGAGTAACAAAAACAAAAAAGGAGCAGAGATAAAGAAGGAACAAACCACAGCACCCGCCAACCACCCATGTCAGAGGTGATCCACCATACAGAACAATCTTAAATATGAACTATAGAACAATTCTGAAGTGCTTCTATTCTCACACACAAGCACAAATCACACCTGCGTCCACCATAGACGTGTGCACATTTCTGTCACATGCGTTCACACATGCTTACATAAATATATATTTCTTTCAACTGCGTTCACACATGTGCGCACATATTTCTCTCACCAAGGTTCACACAGGCGCACATATTTCTCTCACCTGCATTCACAAATGTGCGCACATTTTTTTCACCTGCGTTCACAAATGTGCGCACATTTCTTTCACCGGCGTTCAGACATTTCTCTCACCTGCGTTCACACATTTCTCTCACCTGCGTGCGCGTGGTAGGGCTGGTAGATGGGTGAGAAGATGGTCCCCAACAACGCAGTCCTCGGGGGGCTACCGCTGGGGATCTCTGCCTCCTCGGGCTTCTTGTTGCACTTGGTCCTACGACCTGATGGGGGGACACACAGACAGAAAGACTTGATGAGTTGCCACTCTCACTAGTTGGGAGTAAAGGGGTTTCAACTCTTTATCTCCGACAAGCCGCTCCCAGCAGCTCGCAGTCGGAGCCCCAGTGCCGGTGAGCCGCTGTCAGCACATTTCTATACGATGACTTCGACATCAAATTACTTTTCAGCAATTGCCGAAAACAGGTCTCTTTTACCGGAAGTTCATTCATTAGATAAAGAACTACCGAAATCGGTATGTTAGTTCCGATTTCATGACCCATTTAATAACACTGGTAGCACCAAAAAAGGCCCCGGCATAGTTAATAATAATAATGATAATAATAGCATTGATCATAATAATGAAAATAGTAATTATAATGATGATATAGATAATTTTCAAATTATAATAAAAATAGAAATAATAACATAATAACAATAGTAATGATAATTACTAATAATGATTTATATAGAAAGTGTTTCAGCGCTCTACAACATGCTCTATGCAGTTTACAACTTTGCAACAAATTTTACTTACTCTACTACCAGTCTTAGGGCACTTGAAACAAAATTAGGTCATATAAGTGCCGCAGATTAGAGGCGTTGCAAAACAGTAGCAACACACAAAAAAGAAAGGAGGGGAGTAAAGACACTGAATACGCCAGAACACCCACCAACCACAAGACAAAACAAAAAAGAAAGAAAAAATGCCCCTACAAGATCAAGAACGCCCACAAACCCAGGAAAAAACAAAAACAAAGAGAGAAAGATTAATTAATTCGCAAAACACCCAAAAAGCACCCACAACAAAGAAAAAGAAAAAAACGACTACAATAAAACACCCACAAACCAACAACAAAACAAAACAAAAGAAAGAGAAAACATGATATACCAGAATACCCATCAACCACCCAAAACAAAATACAGTTTTTTAAAGTCAGTTTTATTACGACATTTGCAAAACAATAAGGTCGTTTAAGCACCGAAAACTATCAGGACTATCGATGTTTGATAAGAAAGAAGGAGCACACCACATAAGAACACTCAAAAACTACCAACAAAACAGAAAGAAAGAATGATTAATACGCCAGAACGCCCACCAGCCACCCGCTAAATCAAACGTTAAAAAAAATATTACAAGACAGATGAGTGAGGTGAGATGAAGAGATGTTTGTCCAAACCTTTCCTCCTGGACACCACACTGCCCGTATGTGTGGCCGAGGTGATGAGGTCCACATCTCCGTTGACCTGCGGGGTGCATGCGGTCACTCCGTTGACCTCTGACGGTGCCGACCCGTCTCTGCGAACCTTTTTACCGGCGGTCAGGTTAGCCGAGGGCTTGACCTGTGAAGGGCAATTACATAATTATTGCTATTGTTGTTGTTATTATTATTATTATTATTATTGTTATGATCATAACATCTTTAAAACCTCTGAGGGGCAATTAAATAATTATCACCACTATTAGTATATCATTATCATCATCATCATTAGAACATCTTAAAAAACCTGTAAGGGGCAATTATATAGTTATTATTATAATTATTATTACTATACTTTTTATTATTATTAATCATCTATCATCATTATTATAACATTTTAAAAACCCTATTTCACGGCCATCCCTTTAAACATTTCTTAAAAAATCAAATTGTCCTCAAAACAATTTGAGAAGCTCGTCAACGAAATGAGTTACTTCTCGCTCCAAATCCGTGAAAGAAGATATCGACCGGGAAAAACGACATTGGGGACAAATTCAAATATTTCCAACTGACGTCATTTTCTCAAAGTTTAACATGACTTTATCATTTTGTACTAATGCATTGCACAAACTACGCTTCTAAATTTGATGTATCCCAACTTACAGGGAAACAAACAGTGCAAGCAGCTATTTAACAGGCGCTAAAACGGTAACATACAGACAAAACCTCTCCCTGTCTATGGCTAGGTACCCATTCACACCTGGGTGAAGGGAGGAAAATTTGTGTAAAGATGTGAAAATTACCAGAGCCGCTCTCTAATCATGAAAGGAGAAAAATACCAGTGCATGCACCCACCACCCACAAAACAAAGACAAAAACACAACAGAACACACACCAACCACCCACAGGACACAACATTAGGCCAGAACCTCGAAGCTCTAAACCCACGTCCTCACGATTACGAGCCCAGTAGCCTAAACACTAGACCACCGACACCATCCCACTCATGAGTCCGATACCCTAATGACCAGATCACAGAGATCACCCAAAACCTAACAAAATTGCTATCCAGTAGCCTAATCACTAGACTACTGACTTCCATACGACTACCAACTCCTATATGACTACCAACTTTACACAACTACCAACTCCTATATGACTGCAGACTTCAAACAACTACCAACTCCTATGACTGCAGACTTCAAACAACTACCAACTCCTATGACTGCAGACTTCAAACAACTACCAACTCCTATATACTGCAGACTTCAAACAACTACCAACTCCTATATGACAGAGACTTCAAACAATTACAAACTCTTATGTGACTGCAGACTTCAAAGAACTACCAACTCCTATATGACTAAAGACTTCAAACAACTACCAACTCCTATATGACTAACAACTCCTATATATGACTAAAGACTTCAAACAACTACCAACTCCTATATGACTGCAGACTTTAAACAACTACAAACTCCTATATGACTGCAGACTTCAAACAACTACAAACTCCTATATTACTGCAGACTTCAAACAACTACAAACTCCTATATGACTGCAGACTTTAAACAACTACAAACTCCTATATGACTGTAGACTTCAAACAACTACCAAATCCTATATGACTACCAACTTTACACAACTACAAACTCCTATCTGTGACTGCAGACTTCAAACAACTACAAACTTCTATATATATATATATGACTGTCGACTTCGTGAGACTACCAACGTCCATATATGTATGACAACTGACTTCTGTGAGTGACTACTCACCAAACAGCCCTTGTCCTGGCACTTGGTGGCGTTGGTGGCCCGCTTTTTACGACCCATGGCGGTCAAGTGTCCATCACAGCGTGGCCCCTGCTCAAAGGTTACCGCTGAAGCATCTTCCGCTTTGATGCGGAGTTGCATATTGAGAAACTTTCCAACACTTCTGAAAAACACAAACAGGTCACACGTGAAAGTTACAGAAAAAACACAACATAGTTGCTTAGTAAGAAACTTTCCAACAGTTCTGAAAAACACAAACAAGTCGCACATGAAAATTTTGGAATGAGAAACTTTCCAACAGTTCTGAAAACGCCACACACATCACAAATTGAAAAAATGCGGGGGGAAAAAGACAGGGTGGTGGTAGTGGTGGTAGTAGTAGTAGTAGTGGTGGTGGTGGTGGTGGTAGTAGTAGTGGTAGTCGTAGTGGTAACGGTAGTAGTAGTAGTAGCAGGAGTAGGAGTAGTAGTGTAGTAGAAGTAGTTTCAGATTAAGCAGCAGTTCTAGTTGTAGCAGTAGCACCAACCAACAGGAGCAGCAATAGCAGCAATAGCAGCAACTGAAGCAGCAGCAGCAGCAGTAGTAGAATCATTACGATGATAATATTTACTTTATTTTTGTTTATGCTGGTTTCTGGGCTATTCGAGAATGACTGCAGAGTTTAATTAAGATTGAACAAGTTTCCAGGTATCACAGTAAATGTTTTGTCTCTTTGGAGAACCGAATTAAAAATAATTTCCATTTTAAAAAAAAACAAGTATTACTTCTTGCTCTATTGTCACCATGCTAAGAGGCAGCAGGCTTCTTCTACTTCTTCTTTTGCTTCTATGTCCATGAGTCCAAGGACAGTGGGTGTTTGGCAGGTGCTCTAATATGGTTTCCTCCTTTTTTTCCTTTCAAACATATCTATCATTCTTATATTATTATCTCATACTGTTACTGTACTCACTTGAATAACACCTCTAATCTTCGGCACTTATAGGACATTATTGTGATGCAAGCGCCATAAAACTCTTACAAAAACTAAAGGACACCACCCCCCAACCTCTCCCATCTCCCCCACTACCACCACCACCAACTCCAAATCAGCCGATAAAAGGGAATGATGCGCGCATCTCTCCTTCCTTCATCATTATTAATAGTCCGTCACTACCTTCTGCTACGACTGCTCTGATTTTGCTTTAGTCACTAGTGTGAAGACTGTTACGCACTTGCAAACACAATAAGGTCATGTAGTGCTGTGGACTAGAGGTCAGGTGTTACCCCCCCC